TCGTCACTGCTCCAAAAACCCCACCCCCCCCTGGTGTTTTTCGATTTGTGATTTTTGGCAATGCCGGCGCTTCGCGAGTCCGCCTTACTGCTGCTAGAGCAGCGGTCTTCGTCTCGTAATTTCTTTTCCCAATAACAGCAGACCGCCATACGTAATTGAGCAAGCTTTGAGAAAGATTATGATTGGCTGAGAGAAAAAAAGTTTGTGGGTGTATTTGTTATTGAAGAATTAATTATAGAATTAATTTTTCAAAACTTCTTGTTCCCAGAGCCAAACATCTCTCTCTCTCTCTCTACCACGCATGCTCAATCCGCTAGTTGCATGTCATTCATAACCAATTAAATGTGCAGTATTATTTCTGATTGATTAACCAATCAAAGTCAAAGATATAATACGTTGAATACTAAACATTAATTGTCGATTTGTTTTTCTCGTTGCGAAGATTTGAGAGGTGAAATCAGGGGACCGAAAGTGGTTTTCATCGTTAGCACTCAAAATCTCGTCCTGCAACAGAGAACACGCTTCGAGGAGTACCTGACGGACTACAGCATCTGTGATATCTCCGGAAGCAACTCCACGGAAATTCCCTTGGATTTCCTGCTGAAAACTCATGATGTTGTCATCCTAACGGCACAGATCCTGCTGAACGCCTTGGTGAAGAACAACCTCGAAATATCTCACATTACGTTGCTCATCTTTGACGAATGTCACCACACCAACAAGGACCATGCGTATAATAAAATCATGCAGAACTACATGGCAATAAAGTACTTGGTGGCAACGGAAGATCGTAAGCTACCACAGGTTGGTCCAAATAGGACTCAGTACAAGTTCATGTTCTGATGGAATACAATACATATATTGTGTAGTAGTGTATTGTTTTATATTGTATGCATTGTCTTGTTTTTTATTGTCTCGTTCTATTGTTTCTACAACATGAATGTACTACCCCATTTGACTTCGTGAACTAACACGTCGATCCCGTTCGTTCTATTGTTTCTAAAATATGAATGAACTACCGGCGTGACTAGTGCTTTCCTAATGACTTTTTGTCGGAATTGGTTGACTTTCTTAACGTTCTTTAAGCGATGATGCATCTACTTATCATTTATACCGATAAAAAACAAAAAAAATTACGATAAAGAGAAAAGATGGTGGTCTAAAATGGAATAATTACAAGTACTCTGTTCTATTACAGCCTGAAATGGCTCGTGCATGGTATCAAACCTGCAACCACCGCAAAGCGGAGATGCGGCGCATTAGAAGCGCACACCCCTGATTGTCAAGGGAATATCACGAGGAGTGAAACATAAGCTTTATCCTGGAAGGGTCTACGATCAACCATTATCGAAATAAATGAAAAATAGTCAGAAAACGATTTTGTCCAATTTAAAGTCATATCTTTAGTATCTTTAATTCGTATCTTATATTCCATCTTTGCTTTCTCAGATATTAGGCCTGACTGCCTCTCTCGGAGTAGGAAAATCAACCGAGTCAGGCAAGGCAAAAAACCACATTCTAAAGATTTGCGCCAACATGGACGCTGCCTGTGTGAGTACTGTAAACGAGAACACCGAAGAACTGGAAAAGAATGTGACTGGAGGGGTTCCAAAGAGAAGGATGGAACAAGTGGACCAAGTTGCTAATACATTTGAGAAAGTCATTACTCAGGTACTTAAAATACTTGTCTGTTTTTAAGGAACAAACAATCTTGGAACCAATTCTACTCACATGAGATGCCGAGTCAAGGAATCAAACCCGAGACCCCAGAGATATAATAATAATAATTTAATATTTATGATGCGCATATTTCACGTGGATATGTTCATATGCGCAGAAATTTACTAAGTCATTAAGTTTAAAAAATTTCAAAAATCGAAAATTACAATGATAAAATTACATCAGATAAATATTGTGGTGCTAGCCCACGTAGACTAAAATGAATACCATATCTAATAGGTAGCCAGTGTAAATCGAATAGAACTGGTGTGATGTGGCAAAAAGGAGGAAGATACGCTGTAAAAGGCGAATGTACTACCGCTACTTCGCCCTAGATTCTCTTGTAATTACCTTTTACATGGACTGCACGCTTGTCGAAGCTCGAACGTTATATTTTCATTATTAGATAATGGGGAAAATTGAAAAGGCCGCAGAGAGATACTACGACTCCTCTAACGGAGTGCCTGCAGACCGAGTGGGTCAGCAGTATCGTCAGTGGGTTGAAGGTCTCTACAAAGATGCAATTGGTAGAGGGAACCGTGACCTTGTCACGTATGCTCAACAGCTGAGAAGGTAACAACACTAATCAAGAATTGTCACGCGATTTTGTTGCGCGATAAGAAAACAGTGTGTGGAGGGTGCTAAGCGTTTGTCCTTACACAACTGGTGTCATCATTACTGCTTTTACGATGCACGCCAAAAACTTGTCACGCAATCTTGTTGTAACGTTACGAGAATTAACTATTAACAATTAATCAACGATTGTTGCAGCAATTTCAAGACATTGCCTACAGTAAAATTTCTCCTGCAACTTATCTCGCAACGATTTAATACGACAGTTAATAGACCCCTTGCAGCACTTTGGAATGCAGCTCAATTTGAAGGAGATTACAATAGGTTTCCAATTCTCAGAAGATCGAAATTCTTTTGTTTTGTCCTCCAAATTGAGCTCCTTTGACGTCACATATAGGGGTCTATAATATAGTTTCATCGTGCGAAAATCATTATCGCCCCAGACCACTACAGTCAAATGTGTGGCACAAGCCGCATGAAGCAATGCCTGGTGTAACATACCCTATCTGCGCAACTAAAAAACAATAGCTGTTTTTTTAATCGCACATGGCATATTGCGAGATAAGTCGCAAGGAACATCGTCTAGTATCATCGTCTACAGAATCTAACATCTTGTTCTTCTTTAAGGTATCACGTTTCGCTCATTATCAACGACACAGTTCGTATAAAGGACGCCATGAAGTACCTGGACGAGTTTTTTGACAGTATGGATGAAACCAAATTTCAAGAAACAGACCGCAAATTACGAGAGTTGTTTCAGAAGGCCAAAAAGGCGATCGAGTCGCGCCTGGACAAAGAGCCCATCAACCCTAAACTACAGAAACTTAAGGATCTCATTCTGAAATTCCACGAAGAAGATAAAGAGAAAGGAAGGAAGGGAGAGACGAAAGGAATTCTGTTCACCCGCACAAGAGACTCTACTGTCGGGATACTGGGGTGGATTAGTGATACTAAAGAACTCAAAGAAATTCTGAAACCAAAACCTTTAGTTGGTGCTGGAGATGGAGAAGGTAGGGTTTGTCGAGTAACGACTGAAAAAGGAAAAATGGGAAAGGAAATGGGAAGAAAATCGGAAAGAAATTTGAATGAGAATTGGGAAGGGAATGGAAATGGGATCTGCTACGACAAAGTTTTTTCGCTGGATACCATCAATAACCCTCTTTACCTTGGACGTAATTTACCAATTAATATTCCCATTTCAGACCAGGTGTGATTAAAATCCTTGAGAATCTTGAGATAAGATGCTTTGTTATTTCCATGTTGATGATGATAATTCGCAATACGAAACCGTTAAACAAAGAAATGATACTCTAGGAAATGACACGACTTGGTCTTAAATGTAAAAAACATTACGCCCAAGGACCTCAAGCTTAAGAGGTATAACATACCGCAAGTTATTTACTCGATATATCATGAGTATACTTTACATAGGACCCTGATTCGAAGGCACAGTCGATTGAAGATGCTTTCAAAAGGCTTAAATTTTTAAAACCCATTCACATCTAAGTTTCAAAATTTAATATTGAGATTAATACATTATGATTTTAGTGGGCATGACACAAGGAGAGCAGGAAGCAATTATCGAAGAGTTCAAAAAAGGAGAAGTCAACATCCTCATTGCAACGACGGTGGCCGAGGAGGGCCTAGACATTGGTGACTGTAACTTCGTGATTCGTTACAACATGGCGGGAAACGAGATTTCCAGCGTACAGTCACGTGGTCGTATCAGGGCAGACGAGGGGAATTATGTGTACTTGGGTGATAAAAGATCAAGAGGTGTTCATCGCGAACAACTCAACCAGTACCGAGAAATCTTGATGGCGTCCGCGGTGTCTGATGTACAGCAGATGTCCCGTGACGAGTACAAAAAAAAGGTATAATGGCCAATGAAAAGCTAGCTATTCCGAGGTTGAGGGAAAGCTGGGTCGAGTTGACATTACGGTGCATTGTGGGACTGCTATGGGAGACTTATTTCCAAGATGGCGTCCATTTTGTTTCCCAAAACAGTCCGCACACGACGCACAGCTGCACTGTCAATCTGACCCAGGTTTTTTCACGACCTTCGGAATGGCTAATGAACCCTGGCATGTGACGTCAAAGCAGCTCAATCTGGAGGACAAAACAAATTAAAAGAATTCCAATCTCCTGAGAATTGGAATCTATTGTTTTCCCCCAGATTGAGCTGCATTCCAAAGTGCTGCAAGGGGTCTATATGTGTTGTTTAGTATATCGTATCAGATTGTCGGTCATGGTAGGTTCTATAGACCTGGAAGGTATAGCTAGTTGTCTTACACTCGTTTGAAAATGTCGTCTATTTCGATTCGTGCCTTGAAAGTGCCACGTGTCGCGCCGTCTCATACTCATACGGGCATATCTACTCTCTTCACAGATCGAGAGCATCCAGAAAAAAGATGTCCAGAATATCAAAATGAAGAGTATCCTAAGTGCAAAGAAGAAAAGAGGTGACCTTCAGTGCGACGATGTGACATTCTTCTGCAGAAGGTGCAACAAGATGGCGTGCCAGTTGAACCAGTTTCGCCGGCTCAAAGACACCTTCCATGTCATTTTGGACAAGACGTTTGTCGATGAAAAAGTCCAGTTAAAACCGAGGAAAAGATCCAAAAAAATTGATGACATACTGATTGAAAATAAGGTAGTTAGGAAGGTCTAAATTTTAAGTTCAATTTCAATTCAATCTGCGATCAGTCTATTGCGCAAGGTCGTTTCAGGGTATCGATACAATTTGAAGTCGCGGGTTTGAACGAATAATTTTTAATTACAAATTGTGTGCGTTCGATGCGGCTTTGGGAGCAGTTTTCAAGACGGATTTAACATGTCGCTTGTTTCTTGCGACATGATGACAGGTTTCTAAAGATCATCTCTGAATCTTTTCCAGGTGCATTGCAAGGAATGTGACGAAGACTGGGGTACAACAGTGAAGATCGATGGCTGTACATGGCCATGTCTGAAGATCACTGCATTCGCTGTTGAATACCCACAAAGTAAAAGAAACATGTACAAAAAGTGGAGCGAATTCCCGATAGAGATCCCGGAAGCTCAGCTCTCGGAACTTCTGCAAAACGACGAAAGCCTGGATCTAGACCTGGATGACATGAATTTCGATTTCGAATGAATTTCGATTTCGGTTGAGCGTAACAGAATTTTGGCTTCAAAAATAATTTCAATGCATGGATTTAAGTTTTTCACGTGGCAGCTACGTTCATTGGCATAAGTATTGAAACTTCTATTTATGCCAGGTTCTAATCTTCCCGGCATAGATGCCTATGAGTACGCTAAACAGACCGCACAAAATCTAGTGTTCCAAGCAACTGTGGCTAGCTGTCGCGTAAATAAGGTCCGTTGCTAACCCCACCAAGCATTTATTTTGTAGTTTAAAACTAGTGGTATTAGAGATAAATTGTATATAAATATTGCACATAATCATCTTATTTTTGCAACCGTGAAAGCCATGCACTAATTAAGCTGGAATGGAAGGGCTTCCTGTACGTGCCACAAATCATGCATGTACATAAGGTCACCTAATAATGAAACTACTCTGTGTATCAGAAAACTAAAACAGACTCTACTTCTCGTATGTGTAATAATGCTGAAAACTCTTCCATAAATCGATTATGTACTGGATAATGCACATCCACTCAAGGTGCTTTGTATGTCATTTAGTTGGTAAATCAAATGTTAATTTAGAGCTTCTTTCTACTTGGCTGACATAAAGGAATTTGAGAGCGTCTTTCTATATATTCTGTTTCAGCTAAGCTTATTTAAGTGTTCCGCTTAAAATATAAAATAAAATGGTAGAACGAACAAAAACATCTTTATTAAAATATATGTTAAATTGAAATTTTAATAAAGGCTTTTTTTTTGTTCTCTGACTTAAATTTAAGATATTGGTATTGATCAAGAGATTGATTATTCTCAATTTAGCTGAATTGGCGTTTTTCAGTTTTATTTGTGGCCCGTCAAGATTGGATGCGCATGCACGCAACCTTGAGAACACGGTGTATTCTAAATATGGATTGTCAAAGAGGCCAGAATACGCATGACTGAATGACTGTACATGCATGAGAAACTGCATAGCATCGTCAAACATGCCGGACTTCACAAAATGCCAAAACTTAGTGTCTATGCTCGAAACTTTAAAGGCTAATTCTTTCATTTTACGTGCTTGTTAATACAGTATCTTGGCCTGACAAAAGGATATTCTGGAACTTTTTGTATTCTTGGAGAAAACAAATTAACATTTATTTTCTTCACTCAAACTCTTCCAAATTCTTAGAAACGTGAAGAAATGCACGCATACGGAAACGCGTTTCGATCCCACACGTCTCGCTGTAGCTACAGTTCCTTATATAAATACACTAACACATACATAAGTGTTGGAGCTGGGTAGCTTACAGGATTAGGTACTGTAAGTACGAGACCCAGCTATGAAAAAGTGCGTATTGAGACTGAGATGTGGGCAGAAATTAGGATCTGCATGCAAGGTAAATCTCAGTTACCATAACGTACAGGGAGAGTTAGGAAAGCCCCTTGTGGTTACCGAGGAAGGGGGCGGTGGGGAGCTAGCCTGTCTCTTCCTTAAAAGGCATGTTGCCATTTACTTTGCTATATTAAAATTGAACAAACGTAATTTGAACTGATCACAACTCGGTAGTTTGATAGCCTCAATGTGGTTGTCGAACTTCCAAGTGCAAAGTGCAGTTAACCCCCAATTTTTTAGTAAGCGTGTTCGAAATAAAGAAAATAACCCTTTTATCAGCACACTTTCACTCGTCTCCATGCATTTTACTTTCATGATGACCAATACGCCCACGTAAATAGGCGGTTCTCACTTGGGAACGTTAAACATATTCCATATTCCAAATTCAATTCTAGGATTTTTATTATGCCTATCTGAGAGTCACCATAGTAAATAACTTATCTAATTTAGGTGACGTCACCTATTCAACAGTGAGACTAAAAGCACTCTATGGCGTAGTGTGTGAGCGTATGTGTAACGGGTCACTGATTGACAATGAACAATGCGTCATCAAATTACGTCTGAATCCCATTGTCATGTTTAGTAACTACGAGTCTTTATATTACAGCATTCATCTATTTATTTGCCGAAGAGTGTTCTTTAAAAATGCGAAAAAATGACACTATTTTAGCTGACGCCACATAAATTTGAAACTACGAGCAAACAACTGAGATCAGGGGGAGAAACGATGATACAAATGAATGTCTATTCACTCATTCTCTGGTAAAATCAACCCCCCGGATTGGCATGACCGTTATTTGGCGCGACTTTACTATTCTAGGTGACGTCAACTAAATAGTTATCTAAGTTAGATAAATTTATCTAACTATTCAATAGTGAGACTAAAAGCACTCTAGCAAGTGCAATGTTTATAACATTCTGATCTAGGAGTACTTATGTACTTTCTGCATGGTTGAAAAGTTTGCAGAGTTCGCAGCTTGATTCAAACATCTTTGTTGCTTTCCCCCCTTCTTTTAAAACATCCATGTTGCTACTCTTTCCAATAGAAATATCAAATAATAAAAATCTTGGCTTTGACAACGAAATAGAAATTTTCTACTTGCACTTCTGTGTGAATTTAACTGATTAAATACATTCAGAGCTGGGCAGTTTGAAGACCAGTAACCTTTGCTTTTGCTAATGAATATTGAAACTTAAATTGGAAGTTTAGTTTTTTAATCTCTTTATTTCCCCAAAGTATTGAAATTTTTCTGAGAATGTGAAAAGTGAATATTTATTACGCGCGTTTCTACAACAAGCTGCTCCGGTTACCATCACAAATATACTCTCTAGTACTCCCAGGGGATTAATGAAGATAGCCAAACAACCAATCAAATCACAGAAAATGAACAATTACCCATGAGCTCCCCCCTCCAAGGAAATAAATTTGACACCCTAGAAGAATAAAAATAAGCTAGCTGCGACTTCGGACTTTTTTTGTCGCTTTTTAAAATTAAATCAGCAGTTAAAAAACTGCGATGCCGATATTTTTTTAGGATTGTTGTCAAACACAGAATATTCTTTGTTGATTTGTATTTTCATAAAGCGTTTCAAGGATTTTTTCGGGTTTAAAACATGGGCTGTTGTGGAAACAGAACTGGCGACCGGGATGAGGACGTGGAGATGAAGGACACCAAAGAATGGGGTAAGTTCCTCTTTTAACGCTTTTAGTACTTTAATATTGCCAAGTTAAATTGCTTATAGATTAATCTATAGTATCGAGACCCTGTCAAAGTTGATTTATGTAGAATATCTTCTTTTTTTACGGGTTTCTATGGCCAGAAAGTGCGAGCAAGATGAGTCTTATTTATCGACCCCTGTGAATCAGTCGCTCCTCGCTCCTTCAGTATTGACTTTTCTAAACTTCCTTCTCAGCCAGCTGCAACTTAACTTGACAGCTTTGAATATTTTTTTAATGCGTTCTAGACGAAAAAGCACAAAGTAATCGTATCGTCCTACGATCGAGAGCGGTTTTCGACGTGAATACCGCTAATTATTTGTGCGAAACCACATCTTTTTCTCTAAGCTTTTACCCAATCTTGAACCTGACGTAAGTCTTAACTTAAATTTCTTATATTAATTTTGAAAATTCTCATTATTGTCCTTCTTTGAGACCCTGCAAAATCTTAGAATAAGATTATACTTCGATCGTCATTTTTCGTGGAATTTTTTTTATTCAAAGTTTATTATTAACTCACACTATGTATATTGTATTTGATTGTTTAGGAAAAAATCAGCTACTTTCAATATAAAAAGTAAATTTTTGAAGTCTTGTAACTATTTTCTGGGGTGATTTCTTTTACCAATAATTTCCAATGCTTAATCTAGAAATTTTAAGTCCCTGCCTTAATAAAAAAATTCAAATTATTAACTTACACCGGATAAGTTTAATACATAGTGTTTTGAATAATTTTGGGTTCAGTATTCGTGTCTATACGGCCAAAACGGAATATTTTTATTTAACTAACAAGTAGATTATAATCTGTTTTACATTGACTCTGTTTACCCTGCTAAATGTTAAAAAAAAAGTGGCTGAAACATGTTTTCAAAAGAGAATGACTTTTGAACAATAGTTTTGTCAGAAATATGACGCAGATAAATGTTTTTTAATGCAGGGGCGGATACAGGATTTAAAAAGGGGGGGTGGATAATTTTTAAAAAGTTCTTTTGAGCCTTCTTTTTAATGGTAAAAAATGATTAAATTATAACACAGTGTACTGAATACTTGTGAATGCAGCTAAATTTTGACTCTTGACATGTTTTGTAATTAGATGCAACCATATTCTTCTGTTTTCCTAAAATATTCACTTTTACTTTAAAAGGGGGGGTGGAAATCCACCCCCCCGTATCTGCCCCTGTAATGATTATTTGTCTTAAGAAAATTTATGCATGTTTGCTATAGAAGAACTTGCGAAAGCATTTGTGCAATGATTTAATCTTACTAGGATTATTTATTATTGAATTTAGGAAAAGAAATTCATGCTTCCTTACAGCTTTAACTTGGTGCATGACATCATCCTTGATATATAACTAGAGTTTGTGTTAATTCATTGCTGTCTTTTTATAGTTGAATGCTTGAATAATCATTTGAAAAGTCCTTGAATTTAGAATTTGTTTTCAAGTATGCACTTAAAAAAACCTTATAGGTAGCATAGCTACATGTACAAACTCATATGGAAAGGGCAAAGAAAAAAAACATTTTCAAATAAGCATTTTCAAAAAGATTGATTATAATTGATTTAATAAATAATTCAAGTTGCATTTGTGTGTTATACTAAAGCAATTTTCCTTGTCATTGCCTTCACTTGGTACAACTATCGAATACCCCGCACTTCAACTTTTTGATGATTAGTGTGGCTAATTAATTAAAATTATATATTCACATACACAGGCAGCCTGCATGTTCAATTTGACGCATAGCATGTGTTGACGCGTATCCACTTCATAGAAGTATATGTTGTTTTCAAAACACTCAGAAAATATTAAGACACAGGCAGCCCGCATGCTAAATTTGAAATTAACGTACCTTCTGTGAGGTAAAATCCCACATAGCCAGATCGCAAATTGTAGTATTGCAAGATGATTAAGTTGCAAACACATGTCAAGTAATCTTGCAAATGCCAATCAGTGTTAGAATTGAAGTAGAACATATTATTATTATTATTATTATTATTATTATTATTATTATTATTATTTATTTATTTTTCCTGTGGTATGGGTTGTGTAGCGGCAGCCACAGGCGCCAAGCATAGCTCACAGCCTACCACAGTTTGTGGTTTTTCTTTTTGCTTAAAGCGCCTAGAGCAGACTTGGATAGCCGCTATATAAATATTTATTATTATTATTATTATTATTATTATGATGATGATGATGATGATGCCATCATTAAATACTGCTACCAGAATCCCTTGCAAACTTTCATTTTGTTCACCAAATAGCAGATATTATGGATGCATCAGCAAATGAGATGCAAATAAGACAACAAGCATTGTATCACCCCAATATATATAGCCTCAAAAATTAGTAATCTAAAAATTTTCAAAAGTATAAAACTATTATAAAAAATTTCTGGATATTGCCGACATACATACCTCTGTACATACCTTTCCTTCAACTCGTTCCACAACAGTTTGACAGGATAGCCAATAAAATTTAAATATTGATGATTGCATCTATTAAAGAAAGGAATGACACTCAAGGATTCTAATTAAATGGGATATAGTCTGACATGGGGAAACATTAAATCCAAGCTAGAGGTTTGTTACCAATTTTTTTCTTTCAGGAAAAGCTAAGTCATTCGACCCAAGTTTTAATGGTCCCATCAAAAACAGGTATAACAAATCTGGCAAAACAGATAAGGAGAATATAGGATTATGGGAAGGGATAAGTCACCTGGTGCCGATCAAACAACACAAAAAGATTAGCAAAGGAAACCTAGGGTACCCCACCCCCCTCTGCTTCTTAAATATTATAAAACTCATGTTTTAATCTAACTTTATATTTTTGATGTCAAAGATTTTAAAACTTGAAGTGGTGGAAAAAAAGGCATACTCCTTAAAAGCACATTTACACTGAGCAATTTTCTCTGCAACTTGTCTCGCAACAGCTTGCGACACAAGTTGCATAAGTGTTTGCGCGGAGCAATGGGGACACAAACAATTGCGCTAACTTGTCACGCGATATTTGTTCAAATTACGCTGTAGGTTACACGCTGCAATGCTCCATTCAACTTGTGTCGCAACAACTATGCAAGACATTTTGCAGAGAAAATTGTGCTGTCTAATAATTGCACCTTAACTTTGTATGTTACTTTATATTCCTTTATCTAAACAGGAGCTGCACAGACATACCATGCTGTATTCTTTTCGTTCTCTACATTGTGGGAATGCTTGCTCTTGGAGGAGCAGGTAGGATTTAGCAACTCATTCGTTACTAATCATTAATACGTAGAACAGTTTTTGTATGAGTAGTAAATGTCAACATATAGTACTGTCTTATGGCTCATACACAATGTAATGTCATCCCATTAAAGAGAATATTGGCATCCCATGGTCAGATTTATTGCTCTAAGAGATACGATATTATATGACCCCTTATTTGATTTGCATACCCTTATCATTTCTAGCTTAAGCCAAAAAAGCAAAAAAAAAAAAACTTCCACGAGAAATGGAGGGTCACAAGACAATGAGATGCAACGCCATCTTTATTGTTTAAGTGAAATTGACAAAGTTGATCTAACAGTTTCTTGGAAGTAATACTATACAGAAAATCATGTGAAAGAGATTTAATTTAGAGAGGGTTGATACTTGACTGTTGCAACCAACATGTGAATAAATCATTCATAGTGTTACCTGGCTCATTTAGCTCTTATAGTAAGTTATTCTAGGTAACCCCTACTTAACCATTTTTCTGTAAATATACTTTTATTTATATTTTCTCCTCATTGTCATCTGTGACGTACAAATAAAGCACATTGCATAAACTGCTCTTTTTTCACTTGAAGCATTTTACATGGGTAATCCATACAAGCTGCTAAACTCTGTGGATTCATTTGGCAATATCTGTGGATACTCTGAAGGCTATGTGTAAGTAAACGTACAGAGATGTGTTCACGCTAGCCACCATGACCTCCTAAGTATTAATTTTTAAAGGAATGCCATTGATAGATTGTCATGTTTTTATCACTTCTAATAATAATATTAATAGTAGTAATAATAGTAATAATAATAATAATTATAATAAAAACTTTATTTCCTTTTTTTTGAAATACGATTGTAAATCTCACTGTTAAGGTAATTTACAATCGGCTACTTGAATTAACTTTAAAAAATGATAAAAAATATACTTCTTTGGTTACAAGATTATGGATTATATATAGATATAAAGAATATATAAAATGGAATGAAATGGAAAAAAATCTAGAATTAATATAATAATAATAAGAAGAAGAAGAATGATAATAATAATAATAATAAATATGGGACTTATATAGTGCTAGATTTTCAATACCTATTAGCTCAATAGCACTTTGCGACTAGATTTAGAAGCTAATAAATGATAATTTATTATGATAGTTTATTGAGAAGTGACTGTCAGAATTCTTTTTTGGTTTTCAGAGACAAGCCAAAACTGGTGTTCTTTGATTTAACAGAATGTATTAGCCCTGCAGGCATATCAGCAAACTTGTTTGCTTACTCTTGCCCTACAACTCAGGTAATATATTGCTTGATTATATTTGCCGTCATTTTCTCTCTGGTGCAGAATATACATCAGCTGAATCACAAGTTTTCAATATTTGTCAGTATTAAAATGCCTTTAATATAACACCTTCTGACAATATTCTCAGTATTTATTCCATTTCTACATGGGGTAAGCTGTTGGACGACCCAAAAAATTAATAGTTTGAGTGCGGCTTCTTAAAGTTATAATTAAAGGTTTTTCCATGCCATGTGCTAATGAATGTGGCTATATGTAGTAATCATTTAAAACTCCATTTTACAGCTCCGTTCGAGTGACCACAAATAATAGTTGCAAGTCGAGGCTGCAATTTCCACGCATAGCAAAACTATACTTTTTATCATGCGCGGAAACTCAAGCCTCGGCTTGGAACGGAACTGTAAAATGGAGTATATTACTGGCATGGGTAAATTGAATTTGAAGTACATCTTCACCGTTTTACCGATTGCTCTCATAAAAATTATTGCAAGTTAGTTTTCACGTTCAGTGTTTCAAATATTACATGGAACTATACAACAACTAAACTACACCTTGCTAATAAGAGCTAGATAATATCGAAACAAACAGTACGTCTATTTTATTGCAATATGGCAGGCAGGTTTTTATTTTTCACTGGTCTATTTTGACAGGCTTCATATATGCCACCTCAATTCTGCAATGATGTCATTTCTCTGCATTACAGTATTTCAGATCAGCCAAATATATTTTTGTAATTCAGATAATTTTCAAAATTAATTTATAATTATGTCTAAATTAATTCATTTTTGAAAATTATTTTTATTTTTTTTCCAAATTAGGTTTGCCGTGAAAAATGCCCAGATTATAATGGATTGGGAGCAACTTTGCCTGTTGATGAAATGATTTGTCGGTATGATGTGAAGTTAACGGCTGGAATGCCTACAGCGGTAAGCTTTCTTGAATAACTCGTTACTTTAGATAAGTGCCAAATTTTCAGTAACACCATTTTTAATCAATTAATAAAAAAATTGACAGCAAGTTTAATTGGTAATAAAATGTAACTAATTAAGTGACCTCTAACAAATTGTAAAAATGATGATTCCGTCAGTTTGTTTCATAAAAAAAGTGATTGATTTATAGCTGAAGATTTGAAATTATTGAAAAAAACAGTGCTTCTTAAAATTAGAAGGACTCATTTTGCCAGAAGCCATCAATAATCTAAAAACATTTTGTAAAATGCTTTTTATCAGGAAAAATTGACTTTAATCAGGGAAAGAAAATGTGCTCCATATGTTTTGAAAAGTACTGATGGTAAGTAATATTATAAATGACTGAGATGAAACAATATCTAATTGTTTATAGAGGGAGATGCGTATTAACCATTTTACAGTTATACATTTAACAAATGGCTTTCATGGTGGCCAACTTTCATGGTACTTTCACACTCTAGCTAACACCAGATTAATCAATATTGTATCCTATAGCTCTAAACTGCCTATTAAACCACCACCCTGAGTTAGGTCAGTTAATAAGAGCATTGGTCTGTTGTGTGGGAGGCAGTGGTTTAACTAGTCTCGGCTGGACAAAGATTTATGGTCTCTGAATAGCTGATGATGAGAAGATGCTGCCATTAATATTTGTAATTGATTACATCTGTGAATGGTTAGATCTTCATGTAACTCGTATGAGCGTGTTAATAGCAATCCAGTCAATAGATTTTATTATTTATTTAAACTTACATGATTAATTGTCAGGAATCATGTTTATACAGAAACCATATGTCTTTCTTATGCTGCAGATATATTAGGAAGTGTTCACTTTATTATTTATTCATTGTTTGAGGAAGAGCCATGTAAACCATTAGGAGGGGGATGACGACTAGTTTTGGAACTAGCTTGGACTGCAGGGGGGGGGGGGGGGGGGGGGGGGGGGGGGAAGGGGAAGGAGGAGCAAAAATGTCAGAGGTTTTAGAGATGTCACTTGTCCATATGAAGTAAATCCTGTATTGAGTTTTGTGACCATTGTTTTGATTGTCAGTTCTGAACCGCTGTATTCCAACAATTGTGAGCAACCAATTGGGCAATCTCTTCCCTACTGCCAATGCAAACAACAGCAATGGGAATGTTACTGGATCTGAGGTGCAAGAAGGATCAGTGTAAGTTGCAACTGCAGCAACAGACTTCGGTCTTTACTTTGGACGCAATGTTTTCCCAATTTTCAGACCATGTGTCATTCTATTGAGAATAAGAAGCGCATGCATCTTTATAGTTTACTGTGACATTAGAGCAAGATAAAAGTTGTAGAGCACACGAGGCATGATATAATCATGGTTTTTCAAGCATTTCAACCAATAGTGTACTTAGTATCAGCATAGTATTTTATAAATCTATTGATAATATTCTAAAAATTGGTTCATTTAGGTATGTGCAGGCTTTGTTAAATCTACAGAACCTTGGGCTTAAGGTAAGATTCTTGAATAAAGATGGCACACAAAAACTTGTGAGCTCTCATAAAATTCACAAGAGACAAATGTCTGATCTACAGTTTGTTTTGATCTTAGGTTATTGCAGATGTTCAAGAATCGTGGTATTGGATCCTTGCGTAAGTATTTTAAGCATTTTGAAGGTAGAGTGCTTTGGCTCTTTAACAATTAAGTTATTAGCTATAAGCATTTGCTATAAAAAATAATTAATTCAGGGAAACTAATAAATTAATTAAAAATTAATCACATTTAGTAATTGATAATATAATGTCATTTCCTTATACAACTCAAAAAAAGAATCTACAGTAATTCTCTATGGGAAAACCATTGAAGAGTGTTATTGTGACAGAAGATTCTTATTTATACATGTACATGTCTTCTTAGCGTCTTGACTGCGGCATATTAAATTGAACTAAACTAGTACATGTCAAATTCATTATTTTTTGATATTGGTGTTAACAGGGCTCTTGGTATTGCCATGGCTGCATCATTTATCTACATTTTGATCATGAGGTTTGTAAGCTCCCCATTATATCAAGTACTGTATCATTAATAATAATTTACCATAATTATAAGTAATTATACAGCTTCTCATTAAACCCATATAGGTAACTGTACAATTATTTCCTTAATTGGACAGGTCTTGTTGATATGGGATTAATTAGGCAGCTATATAATTAATAGGTAATGGGATTTCATGCTGCCCAATCAAGAAATAATTAGACTCGAAAAATTCCTCTGACTGACAAATTGGACTCGGCCTACGGCCTCATCCAATTTTGTCAGTCCTCGGAATTTTCCTCATCCAATTATTTCTTAATTAGACAGCATGGAGTCCTATAACATATACTAATCAAATAAGAATGAATGATGATGAGGATGATGGTCAAATTGTGATGATACTGATGAGGATGGTGATGTTGATGATGATTGATGGTGATCAAGAGAATTTAGTGGTAATGATGAAGATAACTGATGGTGATGGTGTACAACTGATGATGATGTTGATGATGATGATTGATGATGGTGATGAAGAGAATGTTGGTGGTATTGATGAAGATAACTGATAGGGATGGTGATGGTGTACTACTGATGATGATGGTGATGATGATGATGTTGATTAATGATGATGATGAAGAGAATGTTGGTCATGAGGTAATGATGATGATAAATGATAGGGATAGTGAACAGGTACAGGTACTGCTGATGATGATGAAGAGGATGTTGCTGATAATGATGATTATAACAGCTGATAATGATAGATGAAAGATGATAATGTCGTTGGTTATAATGTTGGCTATAATAATCAACATTTGTTGGTGTTGAAGATGCATAGCAACAAAGTCTAATAGATATTTTAATTTCAATGTTTAGATGGGTAGCTGGCTTACTTGTCTGGCTGACAACCTACGCGGTCCTCACTCTTGTGGGTTTCAGTAAGTATCTTTGAATGTTTTAAATAGTCAGTTACTATTTTCGAATCTACATTGTAATATATTGGGGACTACAATATTATAATCTTGGTGGCACATGCTGCTATGGCGTTGTTTCTCACTACTGCGTAGTTCAAGTCTGGGGTTGCAGGTTTGATTCTCGACTAAAGCATGTGATTATGCAATTTCGGGTTGTTGTGGGTGGAGTGAACCTCATGGAAGAGTCCCTAATATAATAATGTAGAAACCATTATGTGGATTGTATGGTTGTAAAATATAAACAAATGCTTAAACAAATTGATACATAAATACAATCTGTTAGTCAACTGTAAAAGAGAACAAGGTAGAAAGCAACCTTTTAAAGTTTAATATTTTAATTCGTTATGATCTTCATCTCTTTAGGTGTTTATTACAGTTGGACGCAATACAAATTGCTGTCGACAAATTCCAATGCTACCAGTAGTGTTGACATTGTAATAGGTGGACTTGATCAGTATACAAACAGTGCCGACACCTGGTATTATCTCAGTAAGTTGAAAATGACTTAGATAATTTTAGAGCAGCTAAAGTTGAACAATGATGAAGGATTTGTTGAAAACTTTTAATTCAATGTGTAATTCCAGAAAGTATTCATACCCCCACGATTTTTTAAGACCCCCCCCTACCCCCAGGAAATTTCAATTTTCTTCCATGCAAACTCTTTATAATTTCGTTTTTTCTCTACCCCCCATCCCTTGAAAAATTCCTATGGAACTAACACAATTTGTGACTTTGGGAGGTTGTTTCAGGGTATCTATCAAATTTGAAGGTTTTTTGTAATGCCCTTCTTGTATTAAATAGATATTTATTTATTTCTTCAGCTATCATCCTTGGGATCATCCTCGCAATTCTTGTACTGCTATTATTAGCTCTGAGAAAACGTATTCAGATTGCTATTGCTCTGATCAAAGAATCCAGCAGGTATCGTATATTGATTAATGCTGTAAAAAATTATCAGGAAGTCCTATACATTTCTATTATGGCAAATTACTGTTAAACTAAGCCATCTATTAAAAATATCTCAATGTTATGCTTGTCAAGAAATTCTTGGCCCGGTTGTACGAAGGGTGGATAGTGCTATCCAATGGATAAATTCATTGGAGATCTGTGAGAATTGACTTATGTACTGGATGAGGCCAAACAAAAATAAAAAAAAGTGTGTTAATTGGGGTTGGTAGGTGTTCTTTTATTCTGATACAGCAGTGAAAATGGGCTTACTGGGAACCCTGTGGTGCATTTGGGAATTTTAAAAAATTTTAGGGTCAGCAAAAATCGGCAAGAAAATTAGGGTCGGTCGTGCAACAGGAAACACACTTATTTTTTGTTTGCCCTAAGGATTTATCCATCGGATAGAGCTTAGTCCACCCTTCGTACAACCAGGCCCTGATATTTTGTGATTCATAAAAAGAACTAACCAAGGTATTAAATGCATATTTTGCTTGTTGCTTCTACAGGGCCATCACTAACATGGTGTTCTCACTCTTCTTTCCCATCATTCCATGGTTGTTACAAATCATCTTGTTTGGGTGGTTTGTTTCTGTGCTGGCGTATCCTTTGTCATGATTATTTTGTTTTTAGCTGTTAAAAGTGTCTTTCTTGACTGACTGCCTTGATTGACAAACTTGTCTGACTGACTGTCACCCAATAGGCGACTTGCACTAAGAAATCACATGACATCATAGTGAAATAGGGCAATTGACCCATTTGAATGACTTTACAACTGACTTGATTGATTCACTGACTTGCATTGACTGACTATAACTGACAAGAAAAAATTTTTTTCTGAGTATTTTAATTTGCAGCTGCATAATTAGCTTGATATACTGTGAGGATCAGCTCAATAACTGACAAGAGTTGACTGTCACCGACACACTTGACTGCAACTGACTGACTGGCCATTGTAGGATGGGCTGGTAACTTGAACAGAGACATGGATACATTGTTGAAAGGGTTTACCCTGGCTAGTAATATGTTCTGTGATACTTGAAGATTAATTTCTCTTAACCAGTAATTTCAGTTTCTTGGTGACAGCTGGTACTCCTACATATTCCAATGTGGACAGTAATGGAACAGTTGTCTCAGCATGTGAATACGTAGGGGTATGTTATAGACAATAAAATATTTATGCAGTGAGGAAGAGGGAGTGGGTAGGTGAGTGGATGGAGGCATGGAGGGAGGGAGGCAGGCAGAGGGAGGGAGGGAGGCAGGCAGAGGGAGGGAGGGAGAGAGAGAGGCAGGGAGGGAGGGAGAAAGGTTGGCAGAGGGAGGGAGGCAGGGAGGCAGAGGGAGCGACGCAGGTAGGAAGGCAAGGAAGGGAGGGAGGGAGCAGGTAGGGAAGGTGAGGGAGAAATGACACTGAATTGTAACACGGATGCGTGATTCATTTACCAAACAAGCATTTAAACTCATTTTAATTATGTCTTGTACACAGAACATGGCAGATAACTTTGGAGTGAATGGTAACTTGTCTTGCAAGTTTATGAACTTCAGTGATAGCAAGTAAGACCGTGATTTAACTTGAATTGATTTAGATCTGATCAAAATTTTCTCAGATAAATTAAAAGGCCTTTTGCAACAACAGGTCACCAGACCCTACCCCCTGTATCAAAAATGAACACCAGAAATGGAAAGAGCACCTTGATATTTGTATTAATGGCATTAATACAAAATCGAATATTTTATAAGAATTTGTATGGGGAAATGGCATCTCTTTTTATGGGGGGGGGGGGGGGGGGTCACGTGACCTGTCATTGCCTATTGGAGTTCTAGACCTTTTTATTATTTTATTTCGTATAGGAAATTGCACCATCTCGAGTACAATTCGGAATTTATGGGTATTAGCGATGTACTCCTCTTGTCCAATCTGACAGAATCGAGTAATTTTGTTGAGTGTATTATAAAGAAATAAATTTGAAAATTTAAAATCATCACAAAACTCATTACAGCTAGCAATGTTGACAAGGGCTGTCAATATGTTTGGACCTACAAGAATGGCTTGGACCTTAGCCTGGATAGCGGGGCTTTGAGGAAGGGAGAGAGACTGGGGAGGAGGAAGGAGGGAAGGGAAGGGAATGCCTGCTATGAAGACCCTGTTATACTATACTATACTAAATACCCTAGTACAATCCCTTAGATTTGTGTAATTTTTATTTATTTCTAGCGTGTTGTTGGGAATGCAAGTATATCATCTCTTTGGTTGGTTCTGGTTGATGAATTTCATCATTGCTCTGGGTCAGTGTGTGCTGGCTGGTGCCTTTGCATCTTACTACTGGGCTTATGACAAGAAGAATGTAAGTTTTTCTGGTTTGTTTGTTGCGATATGCCAGAAAGAACAATCTGGCATTTACTGAGGTGCATGTGACATCATCGCCTCATTGTGACCTCATGACATCATCATGACATCATAATCTCCTTGTGACTTCATGACCTCATTGTGACTTCATCATGACCTCATCATGACCTCATAATGACATCATAATCTCCTTGTGACCTCATTGTAACTTCTTCATGACCTCATCATGACATCATATTCTCCTTGTGACCTCGTGACCTCATTGTGACTTCATCATGACCTCATCATGACATCATCATGACAGCATAATCTCCTTGTGACCTCATGACCTCATTGTGACCTCAACATGACCTCGTCATGACATCATCATGACAACATGTGATGTAATTAAGCCACCATTTTGTTTTGACACAAGATTTGAGTCTTGGTTTCTTTCGTAAAAATGTCAACCAATTTGTTATTCTCATGGTAAGGAATCCTCTGGATGCTCTGCCCAGTGAGTATAGTATCCTGTGGCTAGAGCTTATATAATACACCTAAGGCCCAGTATATCTTACAGCATCCCACAGCTTCCATGTAGGTGTATAAATGCCTTGGATATTGACGAACCACTTGGGGTTACCCGATCTCAATGCTCGGAGGTGACCTGTGATGAACTAGTGTCCCATCCAGGCGGGGAAGTACATCATACTTCTAGTCACTTCATGGTACAAAATGCTCTGTAAAGTCGATTAAGAGAATTAACGTTTTCTATCTTTTTTGTTCATCAGGACATTCCAGCCTTCCCTGTTGCTGCATCCTTCTACCGCACCTTAAGGTTAATTCAGCAAATTAAACCTCTTTAATTAAATATCAAGTTCTTTTTGAATATTGCTATACTATTACTGCAATAGAGCGGTCAGTGAAAACTTATAATTTATATTTGCCATTACTTTTGTCTAGCAAGTGATTCATTTTGCTTGTTACTGTGTCAGGTACCACACAGGGTCATTGGCATTTGGATCTCTGATTATTGCTCTGGTCCAGCTTATCAGAGCTGGTCTGGAATACTTGGATCACAAACTCAGAGGTAAAGGAATTGTGTTTGCATGAAAGTACAATACAATACCACACCACACCACACCACACCACACCAC